TCCGCCCCCCCCAATTTATTAACCCTTCTTTGGATAAATTGTGTCAGTGATGGACATACAAAACCCCCCCCAGTAAAACTGAATTACCTGTCTAGGTGGATTAGCATTAGGGCAACCTTGTACAGGTGTTGTTGGGATTACCACCGGTGCAGTTGATGGAGCTGAAGAGGTGCGTCCCACAGTTGACGGTATTAAAAATGTGGGTGTGGGGGTTGATGGGATAGATGACGGCCATACAGTTGTAATGGATGGAGTTGGTGGATGGGAAGGAGTTGGTGAAGGGCATGGTCCTCGAGATCTCTGGACTTCACAATTTTGATCACAAATGGCATAAAACGTACATCCAGAACTATCCGTTTTGTTATATATTACTTCCCCTATTGAAAAGGGGGGAAAAACACACACACAAAATGACTAGTTAAACAATGTGTTTGAAAACTGTAAACCAAACAATGCCAGAACATATGGATATCCGTGCCTCCTTATAGTTCACTTATTTATGGTCACAACTATACGGAGTAGATGGGATCAGCATAGGGACCCCCAGGGGTCATTTCGTAGAAAAAGAGCTCATTAGCATAACTCATTAGCATAACTCATTTGCATATGCCACACCCCCTGACATCACCGGAGGTGTGACAGAAGGCAACACCGACCGCTCAGGCTCCACTGGACTGTTTTGGATTGCTAGCTATTGGGGGGGGGGGAGAACGTGGAGATCTGTCCTCGCAGAGGAGGGAGAGCTTGTACCTGAATAAAACTTGGTCTTAAAGGTCCCACTGGACTGTTTTGGAATGGGGGGCTGGGGGCTCTGCAGCTTACCTGGCTGCTTCTTGCTCTGACTGAGGGCTGCTGGGAGCAGGGGGTGGGGCTTGTTGCATGTGCCCGCCCCCTGGGCTCTTTACTGCCGGAGCTCCGCTCCTGTGTGCTCCTGCAGGAAATGACCCCTGGGGACCCCCTTTTTGTTCTCTCCCCATATGTCCCTCGGCCAGTTACTCATGCATGACTTAGCAACGAAGTGGATAGCTGTATATTTACATGGGGGATGCAGATGGGCCTTCTACTGAAAGTAATGGTTAACACACTGCATTTGGTGTGATAGCTAATTGACAACCATGAAAGGGACGTCCTGTGCTGTTGTCCTCCCACAAATGCAGATTTGCCTGTTGAGGTCACGGGTTGAATCATGTCTAACATTTTTATACCAGATTTCTATAAAACACTCAGAGAAACATACAATAAAATAATGAAACTACAGACTGTCAATAAGCACTTTTCTGCCCAAATAGTAGCGGGGATGGTTTTACACCCATCCCCCTCAGCAAACTGGAGGCACCAGACTTTGGGGGTGGAGAATAAGGCTGCCTCAAGCAACGCAGCTAGTGAGAAGGCTGAAAACAGAACGGTCTTTAAAGCTGTCCCCTCATGGTTTGGTGTACTTTTTTGATATGGAACTACCTATCTGTCAGACTTGGGCCTGGTTTTATGGTTACTGATCTCTGTATTGCTAATTTATTTATTTATTTATTAGATTTTTTTTTTATCCCGCCCTCCCGCCGAAGCGGCTTATTTTCGCTTTTGTATTCTCGTGCTTGGCACATCTGGTTTTGTTCTGTGCCCCACTGCTAGCCCTCACTGACATGGCATTCCAAGGGGGGGAGTGAGTGCGAGTCTGATTGTCTGTAGGTACTAGGATGCACCAATTGCAATTCTTCCTTTTTACGCAGCCCCCAGGAAGCTCTCAGGTTTCTCATGAGAACCGACCTTGGGAGAGATAAGACTATGGACATAGCTAGATGGGTTGCTTAACTTTCATGACCTGGAGAAATGCTTGAATGTGTGACGTATGCATGGAATGTGGGAACCATCTTTATTATCAATCTCCTGAGCTACCATCCCCAGTCCTGACAAAAGCGTTTGTCTCTACAGTCAGGGCTATTTTGGGGCAGGAATGCACAGGAACGGAGTTCCGGCTGGCTCCTGAGTTGGCCACACCCAGCAGGAACTCATTAGCATAATAGGCCACACCCAACAGCAGAAACTCATTAGGATTGGCTACATTAGGGGTGTGTGGCCTAACATGCAAAGGAGTTCCTGCTGCAATAGAAGGCCCTGGGTTTTGACAACAAACAAGGTAAACAGAATAACAAGCAAAAGGTGGGTGTGGCTGGATGACCACACTTCTGGTAACATGGGGGTGCAGCCTAATGTGCTAATGAGCTGTGCTGTCAGGGGTGTAGCCTAATATGCTAATGAGTGTCTGCTGCTGGGTGTGGCCTATTATGCTAATTAGTTCCTGCTGGGCTTTTTCTACCAAAAAAGCCCTGTATATATATATATTAAAAAAAACCCTGGAACATTTACCCTGCATGATGTGCGGGGGATGGAGCTGATGGGCAACATCTCTCTGCAAAAATTCAGTGTGGGTGAGGAAAAGAAGGCATGGCCTGTGGCCACGCTGAGCATGAAGACCGGGTAGATTGTCCAAATGCTTCCAAACCCAATGGACAGCCTTTAAGAGAGCCCATACAATAGAGGGAGGGAGTTTAATATTTAATAAAACCTAGTTTAACTCGTTGCTTTTCCCCTTGTGTCTTCATTTTGGGGTATGGGAACAAAAATAATAATAATTCTAAAATGGTAGTCCCAACCTGCCAGAAGTTAAATAAAAAGGATAAATAAAATCATCTCTATCAGCCAGTTCAAACTATACAGCCAGTCACCATGACGGACTTCCTTGGGTGAAAGTAGTCTATGCTTGAACCTGCTCTGAACATGAGCACACAGTCAAAGAAATATGTAAAACAAAACATGGCATTTGACAATCACATAGAGAGAAACTCACCAGGAGAAAATAGAGCACTGGTGTTCCCGGACACGTGGCAGAAACACGGAGTTACTCCGCTTGAAGTGATTGATACATAAGCTGAAGGACTAGTCGTTGCAGTTTTGGTTGTTGAGGCTGTCGATCAGATGGCAGAGTACATGTAAAATAAAGGCAGGGCATGAGAACGGGGCCAAACAGAGGTTCTACTACTAGATGTTATACTGAACATTCTAAAAATTTATGTGTCTTAAGTGCCACCAAGTCGCAGCAGTATCATGGTGACCCCGCGGGGTTTTCTAGGAAAGGAGCAAACAGTGGTGGTTGGCCATCAGGCTTACCAAGCACTTACAGTGATTCGGCGGGGGACACAGACTTCTTCCCAGAACCATTCCTGCGCAGGTAGCAGACGCGCCGCACCATGCCGTTGCCAGGAAGTGACACTGGGCGACGCTCTGGGAATGGGGCTTGAAACTCGGAACCATTGAGTTTTCAGCCCCATTGCCAGAGCGTCGCACAGCGTCACTTCCGGGGGACGGCATGGTGCGTTACAGGGAGGAATGTTCTGGCCGGGGAGCATGTGTCCCCCACCGGATTGCGGAAAGTACTTGGGAACCCTATTTGCCATTGCCTGCCCCTGCATACCAATCCTGAACTTCCTTGGTGGTTTCCCATCCAAATACTAGGCCAGGGCCCTGATGAGCTTCTGAGAGCTGACAAGATCAGCGAGCCTGGGACATCCAGGTGAAGACATTCTAGATACTTTGGTCTGCATTATTACTGCATTAGTACTCCACTTTCTGTCCTCATAACTTTACAAAGCACTATCCTAGCCATATTTACTCAGAGGTCATACTGCATTTCATCACAGATCTCTAGCTAAGTAAAGAGGTAAAGGCTTCCCTTCCTCGAGTCCTCGAGGCTTCCCTTCCTTGAGTCCGACTCTAGGGTTGCTGTGCTCATCTCCGTTTCAAAGCCGAAGAGCCAGCGCTGTCCGAAGACGTTTCCGTGGTCATGTGGCCGGCATGACTAAACACCAAGGCGCACGGAACGCTGTTACCTTCCCACTGAAGTGGTACCTATTTATCGACTTGCAATTTCTTGCTTTCGAACTGCTAGGTTGGCAGGAGCTGGAACGAGAGACGGGAGCTCAGTCCATCATGCGGCATCCCTGGGTCTCGAACTGCTGAACTACCGACCTTCCACAGCCTGCAGTTCAGCGTCTTAACCACTTGAGCCACTCTAGCTAGTTTTTACTTATTTTCATTTATTGTTTGTCTCCCTCACTGGGACTCAAGATAGATCACAGCCATTCAGCTTACTGATAACAAATTTGACACTATTTGAATGATAACAACATTTGACGCAAATAGTAAAACAACTTAAAGCAGTAAGGCTTGGATTGAAGGACTAGGGGGGGAAAGCACATAATTCCTAAAAAAGGTGACCTCCTGAAATGACTCATTAACACCAAGGCTCTATTCCCTCTACAAGAATGCTCTCCTGAAAAATTCTGCTTTGCACATTTTGCAAAATGACAGAAGTGTGGGGGACTTCCAGATAGCCCCAGAAAAACTGTGTAAGGGCATTTGAAGAGTCCTGGGCAGCACCTTCAGAACACTTTGCTCTGGTGAGCAAACCTCTCCCAAAAGAACATAGGTGCTCACCATGAAAGTATCCCCGCATAACTAACACCTTGTAATGAGTGTTTCTCGCCTTTGTAAGATAACTGAAACATCACTGACCACCTGCTTAGGATACATCGCAAAGATCTCGGGAGTGAAACACATTGGATGCATCTCCACTATTTCAAAAGGGGAAAATTAATACATTCAACTACACTATCAATCTGATAGATTGACAAGAGGAATACAAAACACTTCTCATTTGTCCTCTGATCATTAAAATATATACGGAACAAGACATAAGGGTAGTTTTAGTAAATCTTATGTAATACATGGAAATCTGGAATTTGTTCACAGAAGTAAGGAATTAAGGGTGGTTAAACATATTCCAGTACTTGGACTAAACAGTGAAGTGGAAGATGATGATAAGATGCCAGTAGATGTATTTACAGAAGACAGAAAAGACAAAGTTTCAGTGATTACAGGTTTAGTAGAAAACAAAGGGAGAGGAAAAGAACTCTTTCCAAAAAGGTAGCTAGAGACTTGACTTGTCATATCATACCTTCAGTTGGAATCGGTGCAGTTGGTTTGGATACAGGTGTTGACTGTACAGATGTGGCTTTTGAGGTGGAGACGGCTGCTGAAGTAACTGAGACTGGTGTGGTGATTTGGACGGTGGAAGGAGCGCTTGTTAGACCGGGGGTGGTGCCCGGTGTGCTTGCTGGTGTTCTCGTGCTGGTGGCAGTCGTCGTTGTTCCGGGGGTAGTTCCCGGGCGGCAGTGTGTATAGTCGCAGCAGTGCATTCGCATCTGGTAGTTCAAACACATCCCGGACTTCCCTTTCTGTTGGTTGTTACTGCAGAGCAGGCCGACTTTGGTGTCGCACTGCACTGTCTGCCCAAGTACAGCAATGTCAACATCAGGGTAGTCTTCTGCCCGGCACTCTACGTATTGAGGGTTCGTGCAGACCTTTTCCCCATGTTTTCGGATGTTTGTGATGGTTTCATCGTCGCCGCTATCTAGGTCAGATGTTGGTTGGGACACATCAAACCATTTGGTCCAGGAACATTCAGGCTGGCAAATAGTGGAAGTGGCTTCACTGATCGCAGGTGAGGTAGAACCTGATGGCGGGACAGTCCTGGTTGTGATGAGGGAGCTGGTGGACACTTGAGGTGTGGTCCCCTCAGTTGCTATCGAAGCCGTTGGTTTGGATACGGGTGTCGATTTCACGGACGTGGCTGCTGCGGTGGAGACGGTTGCCGAAGTGACGG